AGAGTCTTGCATCTGGGGAAGAACAAGCCCATGGACCAGTGCAGGTTGGGGGCTGAGCTGCTGGGGAGCAGGGTAGGAGAGAGGGACCTGGGGGTCCTGGTGGGCAGGAGGGTGAGCATGACCAGCCATGTGCCCTTGTGGCCAAGAAGGCCAATGGATTCTGGGGTGGGTTAGAAAGGGGTGGTTAGTAGGTCAAGGGAGGTTCTCCTGCCCCTCTGTTCTGCCTTGGTGAGGCCACATCTGGAATGTTGTGTCCAGTTCTGGGCCCCTCAGTTCCAGAAGGACAGGGAAGTGCTGGAAAGAGCCCAGGGCAGAGGCACAGAGATGCTGGAGGGAGGGGAACATCTCCCTGCTGAGGAAAGGCTGAGGGAGCTGGGTCTGTTGGGCTTGGAGAAGAGGAGACTGAGGGGCCACCTCATCCATGGGCACAGATCTGTTCAGGGCAGTGTCAGGAGGGCAGAGCCAGGCTTTGTGCAGTGATGTCCAGTGACAGGACAAGGGGCAGTGGGTGCAAACTGGAGCACAGGAGGTTCCATGGGAATCTCAGGAAGAACTTCTTTGCTGTGAGAGTGACAGAGCCCTGGGCCAGGCTGCCCAGAGAGGCTGTGGAGTCTCCTTCTCTGGAGACATTCCAACCCCCCTGGATCCTGTGTGATGTGCTCTGGGTGCCCCTGCTCTGGCAGGGGGGTTGGGCTGGGGGAGCTTTCCAGGTCCCTTCCAACCCCTGGGATTCTGTGATGCATCTATGAAAAACAGTTCTGGTCTCAAGCAGGGACTGTTATGATTTCATTGTTGAGCACAAGGGCTAACAAAACTACTTGTATCTATTTTCTAGGTGGAGATGGGCATGAAGAACCATGAAATAGTTCCTGCTAGCTTAATTGCCTCCATTGCCAGCCTTAAACACGGGGGCTGCCATAAAATACTGAGAGAGCTGGTGAAGCACAGACTTCTGGCTTATGAACGAACTAAAAGTGAGTTTGAATTCCTGTCGGGCTCCCTCCCTCATTCTGTGCCTCACTGGTGGCACTTCCAAAGTACCACAGCTTGATATGCACCATCCAGAGCACTTGCTGGCCTGATGTTTTCTGGGACTTACCCTGGGAATGTGGATTTCTGCAGCACCCAATGTTGCAGATGTCCAGCTAGTCCAGCTCCCCTGCTAAAGCAGGATCCCCTGGACCACATCCCACTTCTGAAAGTCTCCAGAGAAGGGGACTCCACACCCTGTGCAGCCTGTTCCAGGGCTTTGTCACCCTCCTAATAAAGCAGTTTTACCTCGTATTTCAGTGGCACTTCCCATGTTCCAGCTTGTGCCCGTTGCCCCTTGTCCTGGGCACTACTGAGCAGAGTCTGGCTCCATCCTCCCTGCACCCACCCTGAGATACTGCCAGGCATTGATAAAGTCTCCCCTCAGCCTTCTCCTCTCCAGGTTGAGCAGTCCCAGCTCTCTCAGCCTTTCTCATCAGGGAGATGCTCCAACCCCCCAGTCATTTGTTGCCCCTCCGCGGGGTCATGTCAGGACACCACAACAATCCCAGTTCCCCCCTGTGTCTCCTTTATCTGTGTCTTCCAAAAACCTCCCTGGCTTTTTCCAGGCTATTTAAACTACTCCCCTTGCCTCTACTGCAGAGAAGCTGTTTGTCTTCTGCCCAACTTTCATGAAACCTGCAGGAATTGAAACCTGTTTCCCATTCTGTTAAATCGGGCTGACAACCACCAACAGAACGACCTGGTAACTTGGGTGTCGTGTGTTGGAAGCTGAAAGAAGAACCAAGGCTGAATGGGGGCTTAATGAGTGGGATGAGCTTAATGAGTGAGGTGTAATGAATACGTGGTGATGATGAGTGACATGTTTTGCATTTTTTTCTTTACCCAGCTGTCCAGGGTTACCGCTTAACTAACGCCGGGTACGATTACCTTGCTCTGAAAGCTCTGTCTGCCCGACAGGTCATAACCTCTGTTGGAAACCAGATGGGTGTTGGCAAAGAATCAGGTAATTTATTTAAATATATAGATAGATAAATTGTATTTTTTTTTTTAAGCAAACACTGCTGTAATATTGCTAGGAAGTTTTGCTAGAAAGCAAGTTTTCCTCCAGGTGGCCACATAAACATCAGGGTCATTTCTTGAAAAGCTGTGTGAAGCTTCTGGCTGCACTCACAGGAGCATTGTTCTGCTGCATCCACTTTGTCTGATCCTTGGCTCATTGCTGTAGGAGGTGCTTTGCAGGCAGGTGCTTTTTTGTCTCCTGCTTTGTGTAGAGTTTTGAACTGTTTTAGCAAAACAAGATAATTTAAACTTTTTCACCCCACTTAATGATAAAAAGTAAAATAGGCTCAAAACTGTCTTGGTTCCTCTCACACTCACGTGGATTGTCATTTGATGCAGCATGTAACTGGTGTAATTGAAGAATGAGAAGGGGATTACTGGGGATAAATGGTAGCAATGAAATATAGGGTAATTGTTAACACTGTTTGAGTTAAGAGGAGTTGTCTGTCTGCTCAGTAAAAGGCTTTTCCAGAGCATCAGAGTTTTCCACCAGCATCTACCCTGTGCTTCTCTCAAGGATAGCATTATATTTGTTCCTTGCTGTGCAGAGAGCCCAGGGATCTTACCCTGAATACAGGACCCTTAAGATCTCTTACTCCTAAAGCAGTTTCACATCACATCAGTGTTTCTTATTTCATGTATAATACAAGTGGTGTTCCTCAGGGCTCAGTGTTGGGATGTTTCTGTTCAACATCTTTATTGATGATCTCAGTAAGGACATAGAGTGTGTTATCAGTGAGTTTGCAGAGGACACCAAGCTAGGCAGGAGTGTTGATATGCATGAGGACAGGCAGGCTCTACAGAGAGACTTGGATAGATTAGATCATTGGACTAATGTCAGTGGTCTGGGCTTCCACAAGGCCAAGTGCTGGGCCCTGCACTTGGGCCACATGCAATGTTCCAGGCTTGGGGAAGTGTGGCTGGAAAGTGTCTGGCAGGAAAGGACCTGGGGGTTCTCACTGACAAGCGGCTGAACATGAGCCAGTGTGTGTGCCCAGGTGGCCAAGAAAGCCAATGGCATCCTGGCTTGTATTAGAAATGGTGTGACCAGCAGAAGTAGAGAGGTGATTGTCCCCCTGTGCTCAGCACTGGGGAGGCCACACCTGGAGTGGTGGGTCCAGTTTTGGGCACCTCAATTCCAGAGAGATCTCGAGGTGCTGGAGCCAGGACAGAGCAGGGCAATGAAGCTGGTGAGAATCAATCTGATGAAGAACACTTGAAGGAGCTGGGAATGTGTAGTCTGAGGAAGAGAAGGCTGAGGGGAGACCTCATCAGTCTCTACAACTACCCAAAAGGCCATTGTAGAGAGGTTGGTGCTGGTCTCTTCTCACAGGTAATCAATGACAGAACAAGAGGGAAGGGCTTCAAGCTGCAACAGGGCAGGTTTAGACTGGACAGCAGGAAAAATCTTTTCACAGCAAAGGTGGTCAGACACTGGAACAGGCTGCCTAGAGAGGAGGTTGAGTCACCATCCCTGGATGTGTTTGAGGGTCCTTTGGATGTGGTGTTGGTGGAGATGGTTTAGGGGAGAACTTTGTAGAGCAGCAATGATGACTCAGTGATCCCAAGGGGATTCTCCAACCTGAATGGTTCTATGATTCTTGTAATGGAGTATCATGATCTCTTTAACAATAATTTTGTCTTGTTCAGAACTCTAATGTAGAATATGTAAATCTGGCTGTCTTCTCTAACTCTCTTAGAGCTTGCCATGCTAGAAATAGTGAGAAATAAAGCAAAAAACTTTGGCCTTCAGGTTTTAACTTCTTTCTGAGATTTATGTTATGTCTCTTCCAGACATTTACATTGTTGCAGATGAAGAGGAGCAGCACTTTGCATTGAAGTTACACAGGCTGGGCAGGACTTCCTTCCGCAGCCTGAAAAACAAACGTGACTATCACAAGCACAGGCACAAGATGTCCTGGCTGTATCTGTCCAGACTAGCAGCAATGAAGGAGTTTGCCTACATGAAGGTAGGTGGCTGTTCCCACAGTGCCAGCAAAGGTGTGAGAGACTGGAAGGTACTTTTCAGACTGTCTTCTGTTCTATTCAGTACTGGTAGTTTACATTTGGGTTTGCTGGTTGTTGGTTTGGTTTTTCTTTACTATAAAGACACATTTCAGAGCATGTCAATGCTGTATGTTTGGTGGACTTTCCCATGACAAAATTAAAAGGCACACTTTGTTTTCTCCTGTGGGAGTAATTTTCATTTCCAAGCATATATTGCTACTGTCAGAGCTCCAGATTTTTTTTACCTGCTTTAAACAAATGCAGATGTTATACAGTGATTGAAAGTTGATAGTGGGAAACGAATAATTTATTGTAAAATTAGTTTTCCTCTCTCCTTTTGTCTTGTTCAGCAGTACTATCTACATTAAATATTATTTCACCATTTTAGAAAGCCTTGATAGGTTCTACCAGTTGCCTCCACAGAAGGAGGAAGAACTACTACTAGAAATTAAAACCTCTATATTGGTCCAATTGGTAAAGCATTCTGTGGTCAGGACCCGTAGGAATATAATCATTGGGGCCAGTTTCCCTGAAATGAGAGTTGGGGGAGGATTAATTGCATGCTGAAGTGTGACAGTAATTAAGGAACAAAAGCTGTATTTATGTTGCTTTAACTGGGAACTCTGTCTTAGAAAAATTCACAGAATTGAGCAAAAAGGGAATGAACCCATAAAGAAAATGACTGGATCAAGTGAATGACTGAATTTGCATTAGAAAACATGAACAGGAGAGCTTCAGAATATTGTCCTGTCTTTGGATAATCTTGAATGTGATGTAATGCTGATTATTAATATTTAAGAATGAACTTCTGTCTTGCAGCAACTGAGTGTGGAGTAACTAGTCAGGCAGAATGTAGAGCAGGAGTTTTTCTAATGCCTGACACCCCATTCCCAGTTCCCTGCTACTGACTGCCTGGGCTAACATCCAAGATACAATTCTGTCATTTTTCCATTCTGCTCTGTTTTTCTTCCAGGTGCACCATAGTTAAACTATCAAAAACATAACAGTGTGTGCTCTGGTGCCTAAACTTAGGAGTTTTATTTTCTTTGCAGAGAAAGTTCAAATGCCTGCTATTCTGTCTTTGTTCTTAAGCACATGATTTGTTGTCTCCAGTCAGTACATTTGAGTCATGTGTGCAGCTTCCAGAGTAATACCTATTGCTTATCTTAGAAGGGACTTGGTCAGTCAGTGTCATGTTTTCTTAACTATTGAATTTTTCCATGTGTGAATTTTCAATGTTTCAATTTTTTCCAGGCTTTGCACGACAGAAAATTTCCTGTTCCAAAACCTGTGGACTACAACAGGCATGCAGTTGTGATGGAGCTGATTGATGGCTATCCTCTGTAAGTGCTGAAGTTGGAATTCTCTGTGTTACAGAAACCTCAACAATGTTAGGGCCAGTCAGGTAACATGGTTAGGGTTTTTCCTTGTCCTAGGAGTGAATTCTGACTTCACTAGGCTGAATAATGTTTTCTAGCCCACACTTACTAGCATCCTACTTAATTAGTGTCTTCCTTCCCTTACCTCTTTATTCAGAGAAATTGGGTTTTTTATTAGTCAAAAAACCATAATGAAATAGACTAGTTTTTTAAGGAAGGATTACATCAAAAGACCAGTGTGGCACAGGTTAGTACTGCAGCTGTTTTCTACACAGAAATTGCCTATTCTGTATGTTATTGGATATATATTGTGTTGAATATTCATAGCCCTAATGTTCTGAGCTCCAGTTGGTGATCCTTGCTCTGGTGATTCAGGTAAGATTATGACAGAACTTCTGCTGTGTTTACACAGAGCACCACATGGAATCTGCTTTTGCTTCTTCAAGCAAGACTTTACTTGAGTTGTTCAACCTCTAGAAACCCTAAACATCGTTGAAGTTTGTAGGTAAAGGGAAGATTTGCTTTGTTAGCAGAGCAGAATGCAAAACTCCTATATACTTGATGCAATGTAGAAGAATTTAGGTGTTTAATCCAGAGATTTAAAGTGTCTAGTTCTAACAAACCAGTCCCTGAGCTTGTATAGTAATCAAGATCTAAGCTGGGAAGTTTAATCAAAGGGGAATTAATCCCAAAGTACAACAGTTTCAGAGTAACACAGAAGAGACTTCATTATATTGTCTCCTCACCTTCAGTTGTCAAATAATTCCACATCCATCATCTTCATCATCCTTGTGACCCTCTTCTGGATTCTTTGCAGTATTTCCATGTCTCTTCCTGTGCTGGAAACACCAGAACTGGACACACCAGGTGTGCCCTCACTGGTGTTGAGGAAAGGAGAAGCATCACTTGCCTTGACCTGCTGGCAGTGCTTTATCTAATGCAGCCCTGGATCTCATTAGCCTTCTTTGCAGCAAGGACACCTCGCTGGCTCATATTCAACTTGGTGTCCACCAGGACCCTCAGATCCTTTTCTGCCAAGCTGTTTTCCAGCTGGGTGACGCCTGATGTCATACTGATGCATGAGATTTTTTCTCTTGGCAGTGCTCATTGAACTTCTTGAGGTTTATGCTGACCTCTTTCTTCAGCTTGTTGAGGTCCCTCTAGATGGCAGCACAACCCTCTGGCATATCAGCTACTCCCAGGCTGGCGTCCTCTGCAAACTCACCCATCATTCAGCTCATGAATGAAGATATTAAATAGGACTGGAACAAATTTGACTGCTGGGGTTCACTGCTAGTCACTGACCTTCAACTAGACTTTGTGCCCAGCTTATTCAGGCAGTTCTTAATCCACCTCACTGTCTGCCCATCCAGACTGTAGATCAACAGCTTTTACATGGGAGACAGTGTCAAAGCCTCAGTGACATCCAGGTTAATGTCCACTGCTGTCCCTGCATCTAACGGACCAGTCACTTCATCACAAAAGTTTATCAAGTTGGCCAAGCATGACTTCCCCTTGATGAAGTTAATTACTTTGGGTGATTTTCTTGTCCCTAACGTGCCTGACAGTGGTTTCCAGTATTAGCAACTCCATCACCTTCCCAGACCTCAAGGTGAAGCTGGCAAGCCTGTAGTTTTCCGAGTCCTCCTCCTTGCCCTTCTTCAAGATGAGAGTGATGTTTGCCTCTCTCCAGTCTTCAGGTACTTCTCCCAGTCAACGTGTTTGAACAGCAGTTATCAAGAGTGGCCTTGCAGTGACACCTGCCAGCTTCCTCAGCTCTCAGGGGTACATCCCATCAGGGTCCCTGGATGTATGTCCAAGTAGTAATCTTCCACCAAGGGTACATCTTCCTTGCTCCAGCACTTCCTCATCCTTGGGGACCTGAGATTCATGTCCCAGAAGAAAACAGTTAATGGAGCTTCAAAGAGCAAGTGGGATGTGAGAAGTGTCTGACTGTGAGAAGTGTCACCAATTGATTTTGTTCTGCAATGGGAGCCTGTTGGAGAGCTTCTAGACTTCCACTGTTGTTGTTTGTGTTGCCCAAATGACCCATTCTCATAATGCTGCCTTCAGAGCAGAATATTTCACAAGAGGATAGTAAATGCTGCCCACTTCTTGACAGCTTGTGGTACAGTAACATAACTTTTGCTTGGTTAGTTTCTAAAGGGAAGGTGATTTGTATTCTGTGAGTCAATGTACTTTTCTTTCTCAGGTATACATGCAGGAATGCTTTAAGCTTTGTTTCTTCTCCCCCCCAGCTTAGTCTAAAAAATACATTTCTATAGAAGAAAATCTCCTGGGGCATTTGAAGTTGAATGCAGGAAGACCCAGCACCTACTGAGACCACAAGATGACCTAGAACAGGAGACACCAAAAACTTAAGGATCTGTTATTTAAATAATGCATTGTGACCACGGTGCCTGCTGGGAGACAGTGAGCATAACTTGAAATGAGGTTTAGCCTGGATATAAGGGTAAAGTTTCTCCCCTACAGGACAGTGAGGCAGTGGCACAGGGTGCTTAGGAGGTTGCAGAGACACTCTCCATCCCTGGAACTTTTCAGACCAAGCCAGACAAAGCCCTGAGCAACCTGGTCTGATGCTCAGAGTTGGCTCAGTATTGAGGAAGGTGTTTGAATAGACACTGGAGGACCCTTTTTAACTTGAAATCCCCTGTCATGCTGTCAGATGTGTTTCATAGACTTTGTCTGTTTTTTTAAAAGTCTTTCAAGGTTCAGATTATTCTGTTTCATTTAACTCCTCAGGTGCCAGGTGCGCCAGATGGAAGATCCTGCCTCTCTCTACAGTGAATTAATGGATCTCATTGTAAAACTGGCCAATCATGGTTTGATTCATGGTGATTTCAATGAATTTAATCTCATCTTGGATAATGATGACCATGTCACTATGATTGATTTCCCTCAGATGATCTCCAGGAATGCTTTAAGCTTTGTTTCTTCTCCCCCCCAGCTTAGTCTAAAAAATACATTTCTATACAAGAAAATCTCCTGGGGCATTTGAAGTTGAATGCAGGAAGACCCAGCACCTACTGAGACCACAAGATGACCTAGAACAGGAGACACCAAAAACTTAAGGATCTGTTATTTAAATAATGCATTGTGACCACGGTGCCTGCTGGGAGACAGTGAGCATAACTTGAAATGAGGTTTAGCCTGGATATAAGGGTAAAGTTTCTCCCCTACAGGACAGTGAGGCAGTGGCACAGGGTGCTTAGGAGGTTGCAGAGACACTCTCCATCCCTGGAACTTTTCAGACCAAGCCAGACAAAGCCCTGAGCAACCTGGTCTGATGCTCAGAGTTGGCTCAGTATTGAGGAAGGTGTTTGAATAGACACTGGAGGACCCTTTTTAACTTGAAATCCCCTGTCATGCTGTCAGATGTGTTTCATAGACTTTGTCTGTTTTTTTAAAAGTCTTTCAAGGTTCAGATTATTCTGTTTCATTTAACTCCTCAGGTGCCAGGTGCGCCAGATGGAAGATCCTGCCTCTCTCTACAGTGAATTAATGGATCTCATTGTAAAACTGGCCAATCATGGTTTGATTCATGGTGATTTCAATGAATTTAATCTCATCTTGGATAATGATGACCATGTCACTATGATTGATTTCCCTCAGATGATCTCAACATCCCATCCAAATGCTGAATGGTAGGTACAAAGTTAGAGATGGTTTACAAAGTAAATCTGACAAGTGCTGATGACAGCAAATAGTCAACTGTTTCCATAAACCTGTGTCTGGTTCTTTTTCTACCACTGTTGTCAGGCATCACAAATGATGTTCCAAACATAGTTTCATTTATGAATGAGTAGAAATGTCTCTTTAGCATAAATATGGAATTAATTGCTCCTGAGAGGGAACGATGTTGTTAAGAAACACTTAAAAATAAACTGCCTGCAGTTTGTCTCCCTGGCCTTTTGTCTTGGAATCATTAACTAATTTACACATAAATTCAGTAAAAGACAAGAAGTACAAGTTTGCCATTGCAACAGACATCATTGCTTGATTTTGTGTTTGTCCAATTCTGTCTGTTCACAGGTATTTTGACAGAGATGTGAAGTGTGTTAAGGAGTTCTTTAAGAAACGCTTCAACTATGAGAGTGAGCTCTTCCCAGCATTCAAAGACATCAGGTAGATACAGTCAAATGGACTTGAATTCTCCTGTTGATGGTATTTTTCTTGGCTTTGTGATGAAAACAGGTCCCTGAGAGAGATGCTTTGTAGGAGAAACTGGAAAAGATAGGCCTAACTATGCCATATAATTTGTATTTTTGTCATTCCTATTGTTTTCTCCAGCTGCAGTTAACCTAAGTGGTTTCCAAAAACAAAAGTGTGCTTAAAAATCTCCTGCTGCCTGCAGCTAAGGAAGAGAGATCAATCCCAAAGCCTGATCCAAATGGTGAATATCTAAGAAATGTTCACAGTGATGCAGAAGCACTTTCACCCACCTCTCAAAGCCTGTTTGATAGTATACTCAGGATTTAATTGGCTTTCCCTCTTAAATCTGTTTCTAAAATACTAGTAAATATGGTGACTGCCTCTTCAAAAATCATCATATTCCAAGTGAAAAGTGAAGTTATTTTTCACTTCTTTTAAGGACAAAGCAGTTGCTATGATAAAGTGTTTATCTCAGAATGAGTGCTTTCCAAAGGGGTACCACACTTGAGCACTGTGTCAGAGTACCCACTCTTCTTCTGTTTGTCTAGACCTAATTTGAACTTAAAGCCAAACTGCATTGCAGCTAAAATCAAATAATTTCCTAGAAATAAACAAGTAAATGCTGGTGATGCAGGTGGAATCATCTCCTCTAGAAGTTTGCTTCTCTCAGGCTGCATTCTGTTAATACCCAACCTAAAGCTTAGCACTCTCATGTGTGTTTCAATAGTATGGATAATTATAGTCCAGCTTGATTAGCATTTTAAATCCAGAATGCAGCATCTTGGTAACTTGATGATTTAGCAGACTAAAAGTAAACAGACTTTTACTTCTTTCCCAGGAGAGAGTGTTGTCTTGACAGGGAGATTGCTGCCAGTGGCTATACAAAAGAAATGCAGGAAGATGATGAACTACTATACCCACCAGGTTCTGATGATAATACAACAGATGTAGCAGAATTGGTAGAAGATGCAGAGAGTACCCTCAGCTTCTTGACAGATAAAGAAAACAATGCAAACTTCATGTGTGAAGTGGGTAATTTCTCTGAAAGGAAACCCTCTGAGGACTTCACATATAGCAATGAAGAGGCTGTTACAACTGAAAGCAGTGAAAATACACAAAGGTTGGATGTATCAAAGTTGAGTTCAGCATTACAAGAAGCTGAAGGGCAAGCTGTGCTCTGGAAGTCTGGTGAAGAAGGTGCAGAGAGTTCTGAACTTGCTTTTCTTGAGGGCAGAAGCACAACTGAGAACACTGCTGAAGCCAAAAATCAGACGTGGCAAGAAGAGCACTGTAATGATAAGGAGATAGAAGGAGAATGCCCTGAGCTGGTTGACTTGTCCAGTTTAAATGAGAAATTCAGGTATGACAGGTACAGAATCTTATTTACTGTCTAAGAGTGTGGTTCCTTCCCCTGGTAAATATAACCCCTTCAAGTAGCTCAAAAAGGACTCTTGAGCACTACCCTTGTTTTAATTGAAGACTAAAAATTCAATTTTAAGTGTAAAACACTTCAGTTCATGTTTTCTGATGTTCCTTTTTTCTTCATTTCAGTCAGTATTAGTAGTGAAAGAGCCCTGGATATTAAAACACTGCTTCTAAATAACTTTTATGGATAAGTTTGTCATTTGGATGCTCTGTCTCCAAGCCAGATTTTTCTGCTGCTTGCTCAGCTGAAGTTAGCGGAAAAGAAAAAGCTCATTGGGGGTGTGTTATTCAAATATCATGTCCTAGCTTTTAATTCCTTTCCTGACATACTTAGAAATTCAGGCTTAGCCTTCAAGTTAGCCCCTTCTACATGGAATTCTGAGTTTGTCAGCCCAGCAAGTACTTGGATGCACCTGATTTGTCCTTCTACATGGAATTCTGAGTTTGCCAGCCCAGCAAGTACTTGGATGCACCTGATTTTGCTTTTTAGTGAAGTGACTTGTCAAGACATTGAGCAGAACCTGATTTATTATTTGTTTTTGTTCAGCGTTCTGAATCTTTGTATGTGCTTGGTCTGAAGGTGGCTATTGTGGAACCAATTCTTCCTCCCATGAAATGCCTGCTTTTCTAACAATTAGTGTTTAATATGAAACACTGAAAAGTTCTGCAGGACTTTCATGTTCTGTGTGAAGTTTTCAGCTGGCGTCTCAAAAATTTGCTACTGAAACATGATGCCTGTAAAGGCAAAAGATGTTTTGTGTTGCTGGTGGAATCAAACATTGATTTATGTATTTTAGACATGAAGAGGGTGTCATGCATCTTGCTGAGCACAGAACAAGGACTGCAAGTCCCACATCTGTCAGAAGTGTTGGGAGCTGTTCAACCATTCCAGTGGTAAATACTGTTACTTTTATTACCCAATTTGCTCACAGATCATGTTAAATTGCATATAGCTGTTATTTCATAGTGGTAAGGATTACCCAGCATGAATTATCTTTAACAAGACTGTTGCCATGTACCTCTCTGGTTTGCATTTCCACACTCACAGAAAAATAGCATTGATAATTCTGCAGTTATTTACAGGGAATCATTTCCAGTACTTCTCTTCATATATTACTCTTTGCTCTTTCACCAAAGCTCTACATCACTATTAACAACTCTCATTGAGCCAATAATGCCCTAGTTTTTATATTAATGTATGTTAATACACTAATAAATCAGTTCATTTCTGTTGCAAGCCACAATTGCTATTTTTTTATTGTAAAAGTGGATGCTGAGCCAAGATTTAATTTCACTTTTTTCACCTGTCGTCTTAAGAGATTTCTTAACTCTTTTCTGAAATGTTTGGATGAACTCACTTCAGTGGTTATTTCTGTAGGATTTGACTGCCTGGATTATATAAATCAGAACATTTTACAGCAGAAATTAATATCTTTTTCTTCAACCTCAGATTATACACTAGTCAGTGTGGTTACCTCTGTCACATTTTTTTTCAAGTGCATTTTAATTTTGAAGGGAAGAAAGTCAACTGTTCTTTATTGGATATGAAGTCTTCTTAGTTATTCTTTACTAGTTACAAGGTATTCATGTACAAAAGTAGAACAGCTGATCCATGAACTATTTTTTAAATTAGTTCAGACTAGATACTTGCTATAGGTACTTGAATGTAGGTATTTGGGTATGTACATTCAGTCTCATTTTCATTTGGAATTAGGATCACAAGCTCTGAAAAACCTGCTTTGGGGAACATTAGTGTAGTTTCACCTCTTGCACAAAATGTAGAGGAGGTAAATATGTCCTTTTTCAATTTGCATCTTCATTTCTAGTGCCTAATTAGAGTAGTAGTTCTAGAAATACTGGACCTGAAACCTCTAGTGCTAGCAGGAGTGATTTTTTTTTTTCCCTTAGGCTTCCTCATTTACAGTCTTTATTTCAATATTTAAAGTATTTTGAGGATAGACCAATGAAGGTGCAGATGAATGTTAGGGAGCAGCATGTCTGCATCACAGCCAGGATATTTTTAATAGGACTTCATGCAAGAAAAACAAGAGCTTTGCTCTTCATCATCACAGTTCTGTCTCTAAGGGATGGCATTTTATCTTCCTGAAGAGACAAAGGATTTGATTTAAACTATGGGATAAAGTAAGCAAGAACCACAATGACCTTTTTGAGTGTTTGGTGGATGTGTGTTTAGTCTGCAGGCAGGCACATATATGCAAATGGCACAGACAGACCCAATTAATTTCCTATTTTGAAATTCTAAAAGCCCTTTTAACAGAAAAGCTCTCAAGATTCAGCCACAGACTTTTTCTGCATCAGTTTACCTTGCATAATGCTTTCACCTACATCCCTTTATGCTGAGTAAAATAGAGTTTCTGCCCACTGCTGAATCTCACTTTCACTTTTTAGTGTTAAATCTAAGCATTATGTATAATTAGGGATTTGTAACATAACTACAAAACTAAAAATGCAAAGTAATGGCACAGCAGTGCTGCTTGGAGCAGATGTCTGGTATTGCTGCTGGCATTTCTGATGCTTGTGCAGCTTCCTTTCTGTTTGGTGGCTGAGACAGGCAGAAACATAAGCAGATTTCATGACAGAAACAGAATTCCCAGAGGCATTATCTCAGCAACAGCAGTAGGTACAGTCATGCCAGGAAGAGAAAGCATCCTGAATTTTGTAGTCAGCTGTTCCTCATGAAGTAAGGTATCTTTCTGTGCTTGCACTGGTGCAATTTAATTAGAGGAAATCACTTGATAAAAATTTAAATAATGAGATGTAAACCTGTTCACTCATTCCCGAGCACTTGCTTCCATTTGGGTAAGTCTTTCCACCAGGCCATTGACCACCAGAATGTGGTGAATTCACACTATGGTGACAGATCAAGGACTTCTGGAATCCACCTTGCAAGATTTTTTTCTAGCAAGTTTTGTATAAACTGGGAAGGAAGTCACCTGTCATGGATCACAGTGGGAGAACCTTCTGTCAGAGCTCAGAAGGACAGATGCTTCATTGGCCAAAGAAAAACATCAGTCTGACAGTTTTAACTAGTTGTGATAAACTTCTCTTCAGGAATATTTTTAAAGATTATCTGTAAGTTTTCTTTCCAAAAAGCTCATGGTTAAATGCTGACTGCTAGTCAGTAACCAAGGAAGGAAGGACACACACCATGCAACTGGTTTTTATGCATATTTTGACAGCCTGCATGCAATGCACTGTGGTTCAGGTGGCTCCCTAATCCTGACAGAA